CGCATACATACATACACCATACCCCCGCATACATACATTACAACATGCACCCGCATACATACATCATACACCCGCATACATACATACAACATGCACCCGCATACATACATACAACATGCACCTACATACATACATACAACATGCACCCGCATACATACATACAACATGCACCGCATACATACATCATACACCCGCATACATACTACAACATGCACCCGCATACATACATCATACACCCGCATACATACTACAACATGCACCCGCATACATACAACATGCACCCGCATACATACATACAACATGCACCCGCATACATACATACATACAACATGCACCCGCATACATACATACAACATGCACCCGCTTACATACATACAACATGCACCCGCATACATACATACAACATGCACCCGCATACATACCATACACAATGCACCCGCATATTACATACATACAAACATGCACCGGCCATACATACATACACCATTACACCCGCATACATACATACAACATGCACCCGCCATACATACATACAACATGCACCCGCATTACATACATACAACATGCACCCCGCATACATACATACAACATGCACCCGCATACATACATACAACATGCACCGGCATACATACATACACCATACACCCGCATACATACATACAACATGCACCCGCATACATACATACAACATGCACCCGCATACATACATACAACATGCACCCGCATACATACATACAACATGCACCCGCATACATACATACAACATGCACCCGCATACATACATACAACATGCACCCGCATACATACAACATGCACCTGCATACATACATACAACATGCACCCGCATACATACATACAACATGCACCCGCATACATACATACAACATGCACCCGCATACATACATACAACATGCACCCGCATACATACATACACCATACACCCACATACATACATCATACACCCACATACATACTACAACATGCACCCGCATACATACATACAACATGCACCCGCTTACATACATCATACACCCGCATACATACATACAACATGCACCCGCATACATACATACAACATGCACCCGCATACATACATACAACATGCACCCCGCATACATACATACAACATGCACCCGCTTACATACATCATACACCCACATACATACATCATACACCCGCATACATACATCATACACCCGCATACATACATACATCATACACCCGCATACATACATACAACATGCACCCGCATACATACATACAACATGCACCTACATACATACATACAACATGCACCCGCATACATACATACATCATACACCCGCATACATACATACAACATGCACCTACATACATACAACATGCACCCGCATACATACATACAACATGCACCTACATACATACATACAACATGCACCCGCATACATACATACAACATGCACCTACATACATACATACAACATGCACCCGCATACATACTACAACATGCACCCGCATACATACATACAACATGCACCTACATACATACATACAACATGCACCCGCATACATACATACAACATGCACCCGCATACATACATACAACATGCACCCGCATACATACATACAACATGCACCCGCATACATACATACAACATGCACCCGCATACATACATACAACATGCACCCGCATACATACATACAACATGCACCCGCATACATACATACAACATGCACCCGCATACATACATACAACATGCACCTACATACATACAACATACACCCGCATACATACATACAACATGCACCTACATACATACAACATGCACCTGCATACATACATCATACACCCGCATACATACATACAACATGCACCTACATACATACTACAACATGCACCCGCATACATACATACAACATGCACCTGCATACATACATCATACACCCGCATACATACATACAACATGCACCTACATACATACAACATGCACCTGCATACATACATCATACACCCGCATACATACATACAACATGCACCTACATACATACAACATGCACCTGCATACATACATCATACACCCGCATACATACATACAACATGCACCTACATACATACATCATACACCCGCATACATACATACAACATGCACCTACATACATACAACATGCACCTGCATACATACATCATACACCCGCATACATACATACAACATGCACCTACATACATACATCATACACCCGCATACATACATACAACATGCACCTACATACATACAACATGCACCTGCATACATACATCATACACCCGCATACATACATACAACATGCACCCGCATACATACATACATCACATGCACCCGCATACATACATACAACATGCACCTGCATACATACATCATACATCACCCGCATACATACATACAACATGCACCTACATACATACATACAACATGCACCCGCATACATACATACAACATGCACCTGCATACATACATCATACACCCGCATACATACATACAACATGCACCTGCATACATACATACAACATGCACCCGCATACATACATACACCATGCACCCGCATACATACATACAACATGCACCTGCATACATACATACAACATGCACCCGCATACATACATACAACATGCACCCGCATACATACATACAACATGCACCTGCATACATACATCATACACCCGCATACATACATACAACATGCACCTGCATACATACATACAACATGCACCTACATACATACATACAACATGCACCCGCATACATACATACACCATGCACCCGCATACATACATACAACATGCACCTGCATACATACATACAACATGCACCTGCATACATACATACAACATACACCCGCATACATACATACAACATGCACCTGCATACATACATACAACATGCACCTGCATACATACATACAACATGCACCCGCATACATACATACAACATGCACCCGCATACATACAACATGCACCCGCATACATACATACAACATGCACCCGCATACATACATACAACATGCACCCGCATACATACATACACCATGCACCCGCATACATACATACAACATGCACCCGCATACATACATACAACATGCACCCGCATACATACAACATGCACCCGCATACATACATACAACATGCACCCGCATACATACATACAACATGCACCCGCATACATACATACAACATGCACCCGCTTACATACATACAACATGCACCCGCATACATACATACAACATGCACCCGCATACATACATACAACATGCACCCGCATACATACTCAAATGTGTGCAGAATAGTTACTGCACATATAACATACATCTCTCCATTGGTGGCAATAATCTCACCTTAATCGTGTATGAGGGTTTTCAGTCTGTGGCTATAAGGATGGTTTTATTGTCTCGTGCTTTTACATTCGTTTTGTTTTGTCCTATCGGTTTTGTCTAAATGTATTTATGCTGCTTTTTTATTTATGTATTGATGTACAGCACTTTGGTCAACTCTGTTGTTTTTAAATGTGCTATATAAATAAAATGGGATTGCATGTAGCAAGATATCTATGTATATCAGCTAACATACCAATTACTTAAATACAGAGAGAAGATTAATAAGAATAATAAATCCTCATCATAATGGCCTGAGGTGTGGCGTCATTACAATGAGAAACATCCAATAGAAGGGGAAGAAAACATTATTCTCACTATTTCTGTCACAACTCTTGAAAGGAGAGAAAACACAGCGGAGCGGATTTATGCCGCAGCCTGCTGCAGACAACACAAGGAACATCTGCCACACAGGACGCAGCTACAGGCCTGTCAGTATGTTCCTCTAAAGTGCTGCAGAGTCACTCACGACATGAAATGGAGCAATTTGGGAGGAGGTTAGGGCGTTGTGTTTTTCATGTGAAGGAAAGCATGTGATCATCCATTTACCCAGCACTGCTTGAAATAATCTAATCTTCTGAACATGAGCAGTCTCACTGTTCTGCTCTTTAGATCATTTGACACAGTGTGAAAACATCTCATCACAAACCTTTGAAACCTGATTCATCTTCGAGCATTGCTTTTCATTTTGGAAGTGTAAGACAAAAACGAGCCTCCGATTGTGGTACCTTAGCCATTTTACAAATCGTGTTTTTTACTTATCTTTCTACTAATGAAGAAGAAGAAGATTCAACTTATTGTCATTACGTAGTACAGGTACTATGTAACGAAATTGTTTCTCTGCATTTGACCCATCCTAGTGTTAGGAGCAGTGGGCTGCAATTATGTACGGCGCCCGGGGAGCAGTGTAGGGAGCGGTGCCTTGCTCAGGGACACCTCGGTAGCACTTGGTCTTTCCGGGACTTGAACTGGTGACCTTCCAATTGCCAAGCCAAGTCCCTATGGACTTCGCCACCACCGCCCATTTGATCCTTTTCAAATGTCAAGACTATTCATGCCCAATATTGAGAGATGGTTTCATCTCAAAATAACTTATTATGAAAAGAGTTAGAGGTATGATAAAATACACTGTGAGACATTTAAAGGTCCCGTGTCATGGCCATTTCTACTGATCATAATTCCATTGTTGAGGTCTACTAGCATAGATTTACATTGTTCAATGTTCCAAACTCACATTGGTTTCTCAAACAGCATCTCTGTATAGTGTGTGTATTCACTCTCTGTCCTACACGGCTTGTTGGAGCTCCTGCCCCCCCCCCCCTCCCTGTGAGCCCACTGTGCTCTGATTGGTCAGCTCGCCCACTCTGTTCTGATGAGTCCACCACCGTTACAGCGGGACATCAGTGATTATGTGTTACTATGGCGTTTGTTAGCAACCAGGAAATGACACCAGTAATGACAAACAGATGAGAATGCTGCGTGGGGTCTGGGTGCCGTGTTGGCGGGACGTTGCGGGGCTCGCTGCTCCGCCCTTTGAGGCTCGAGGAGCGGACAGTGTGAGCTGGGTTACTGGTGTTGTTTCCTGGTTGCTGCGTGGGGTCTGCGGGACATCGCGAATGGATGCGGTAAGGGGGGGTGCTGAGGGGGCTGCAGCACCCCCATCTGCGAGGCTCCACTAGCGAAAATAAAAAAATGAGATGTTGCAGGTTATCTTCTGCTATCTTAAGCCGTTAAAAGTGTAAAAGTATACCTTAGACTCGGCAAGGAGAAGTAAAGCTTCAGGATATAATCAAACAAACCGCTATACCGTTAACTGACAGTGTTAGCTGATCTAAAATGAATGCTAGAGGAGCTAGCAAGATTTTCCACTGATTCCGATATCCTTCTTATTGTATAAGTAGTTAGCCTAGCTGTAAATAGCGCCAACATCTCAACAATGTTCTTCTACTGGGACATGTCTCCATGCTCTAATGTTCAAAAAGCTCTTCATTGTTCTCATACTGTCTGTGCTGCAGCACCTCTTTTCACCCTCTGTCTGAAACCAGAGCCCAGTCTGCTCTGATTGGTTAGCTGGCCGACTCTGTTGTGATTGGTCAACCGCTTAGAGATGTCCCGCCCCTTAGCCTATCACGTACAATGTGTTGGAGCGCTAGCCAATAGAAGCGCAAGTGTTACAAAGTGATGTCACTATGTTATGGAAGTAAACAAAGGAGTCCAATGGAGGCGTTTCAGGCAGGGGAACTTTGGGATTTTAGCCTTTAGCATGTTATGTTATGCTATTAATGTTAATTCTTGATGAATGATGAAAGGTTACTTAAACATTTTTTTCTTAATGTTCTAAAATTGTTTGGGCCCCCGTGGTGAGGTTGTTTGGGGTGGCCAATAGGGTGGCCAGGATTCACCCCCCAGCTCCGCCACTGTTATCCCCCTGACAAACAGAAACAGTCCTGTTGGGACCCTGCTCCCTTCACCTCAGACGAGCTTCACCCACCCTGGTATTTCTTCACACATTATCTCCCCGGCAGCCATACGTTAAAGTGTACCTTTGATCCCTGCTGTTTTGACAGAAATGCAGCGCGACTGGTCGGACCGCTCTGTACAAGTTGATCTTTCCAACGTCACTCTCGCATGTGGACGATAGGGGTAAACAATAGGTTGTAAATGCAAATACTGGGGGACGTGGTCTGTAGGTATATGTACAAGAGAGGAGACGCAGTGAAGGACCAAACATATGTAGTTAGGGTTTGTTTCTTTATGCACACATTCATCAAGGGAGACGAGGAAGTTGTGAATCTATGGAGCAGGTAATCGTTCAGTACTTAAAGATACAGTATGTTATTTATCTGAAGCCGAAAACATGAAATCTATTGAAGCTGCTGTTGTCAGTTTTCCTGAGATATGAGTTGGGTTCTTTAATTATTTATCCTGTGTGTTTTTGTGTGTATTTTCAGAATTTTTACGATGAGCAGGGGGTGTTTTCGGAGAGTTTCTGGCCCCAGAGTGAGCCTCCTCAGGCCATGGCTTTCAACCCCAGAGGGAGGGTCAACAAGCCCCTGACTCCCCCTCCCACCTCTCAGTCCATCAACAACCAGGTCAGTGTGCTCAGCCGCTCATAAGCAACACCTAATTATATTCAAGCTGTACTGCAATTACAGAAACACTTTGGAAATTGCATATCGTTTTCTGATGACTTTCAAGGACATTTTATTAATTAGGAACTCTCTTTTTAATTAAATATCTAAATGTTATGGAATTCTGATACCAGATAATTCTCCAGTATCTTAATATTAACATTAATTATTAAATATGGAGAAAAATCAAGCTCAAGATGTATAAGACAGATCACTTTATCACTACAAATAATACAGAATCCAAGCAGAATTGAACACATAGAAGCTCTAGGGAAACTCAGAACAATGAAACGGGTGATGGAGTTTTTTTTAGATGCAGTCTACTCATTTTGATTGACAGGTGTGTCAACCAATGGAGCCTCTTTCCTTATTTACCCATAATATATATGTATAAACAGATATACTCCCACACACACACACACACACACACACACACACACACACACGCATAAACAGCTGTCTATGCATACATGTTTACCGCACACTGTTATTATACTTTAAATACAACCCAAAAAATACATGATAATGATTATGAAGGAATACATTATAATAACACATTACTTAATTAAATCATTGAAAAAACGTTATCAACTTCTAGGTTTATTTTAGTTCTCAAATACCATTTGTTGTGTAGATATGGAATAGAAATACAATGCAATTTCAGATGATCTTTTAAACAGCACAGCAGAGAGAGAGAACATCGACCCCCTCCCCTTATATTTGTAAATATCTAAACAAAATAAATACAAACAAGGAAATATAAAAACATGTTCACAGTTAATTTTCACATTTATTCTGATTGTGACTATCTTTTGAACAAAACAGAATGGCACAAATCAAAGAATTGTATTGTAGATATCTAAACAAAAGAAAGGACATTTTCTCCGGCGCTAACAGTTGACGTTTTCTTCGTCCTCAGCTCCTCTTCCAGTACCCAGTGAGCCAATCGCAGCCATCCCCCTTCTATGTGGGCGGGCCAATGGGTGGGATTGACAGCATGGCGGGGGCGGAGCCAACTCAACAGGCTCCACCTCCTGCGCCAATGACCCCGGCCCCGCCCCCTCCCGCCTCCTCGGCAGGCCCCTCCCCTTCCTCCCAGGGATCTGAGACCTCGTTCGACTGCACGCACTGTGGCAAATCTTTACGTTCCAGGAAGAACTACAGCAAGCACATGTTCATCCACTCCGGTAAGACTCCAGAGGAGTAGTGGAGTACAAATACTTCGTTACTGTACATAAGTACATCGTTCTGGTTTCAGTACTTTACTCCACTACTTGTTTTTCTGACGACTTTTTACTTTGACTTCTTACATGTTGAACTCAAATACCTGTACTTTCTACTTCTTACACTGTTGAACACAAATACCTGTACTTTCTACTTCTTACATGTTGAACACAAATACCTGTACTTTCTACTTCTTACATGTTGAACTCAAATACCTGTACTTTCTACTTCTTACATGTTGAACTCAAATACCTGTACTTTCTACTTCTCACATGTTGAACACAAATACCTGTACTTTCTACTTCTTACATGTTGAACTCAAATACCTGTACTTTCTACTTCTTACATGTTGAACCCAATACCTGTACTTTTCTACTTCTTACATGTTGAACACAAATACCTGTACTTTCTACTTCTTACATGTTGAACTCAAATACCTGTACTTTCTACTTCTTACATGTTGAACTCAAATACCTGTACTTTCTACTTCTTACATGTTGAACTCAAATACCTGTACTTTCTACTTCTCTCATTTTCCAAACAGCTGGTTCCTTTAGTCTGAATGTGTGTTTGATGCGTGATCATTATTATTTAGAGTCATTGCGTGCCTATTAATTTGAACACGATCCGTGTATCCATCATTTCCTGGTCTTCTCTAAAGAAGAGGGACCAATGGAAACGTTGTCATGTTGCCGTTGTTCAGCATGGAAACATTCATTAGCTTACAATGACATTATTGTTCTATTAATATAAAGGGAGGTCAGGTACTCTTTAAAACAGCTGCTAGTTATGGGTACTTTTTACTGAAGTACATTTCAAAGCCTCTTTACTTTGACTTGAGTAAAGAAGTTTAGTCAGTACTTCTACTTTCACCAGAGTATTTTTAAACACGAGTATCTATCTTCTACTTGAGTAAAGGATGTGTGTACTTTTGCCCTCTCTGCAAGCCTCATCCTACACCTGGCTTTGTGTCTGATCTATAGTAGTATATTTTGTATAAACGATCAATCAATTGACGTGGATGCCATGTGTAAAGGGTTGTTTGCCGTGTCAACATCTCAGGTAATTTGGTTTAACGACACATTTACTCGTTGTTGTTCGCCGTCAAAACTCTAATGGAGCTGTTCTCATCGCGGATGTACAGTAAACTAAGAGTTTGAGAAAGGGTTCCACGATATCAGAAAAACATGCGATAACACTGTTTAATATTGCGATAACGATATCACTTATCAGCTGAGTAAATGATACCTCTGTTGGTTGGCAAGACTTGCATCAAACCCGTGTTTGTAGAACTTAATCTTTATTGAAACGTAAATACTTCCAAATAACTAACGTACGTTATTTTTACATACCAGTTTTTTTCTGCCTCGTCTCTCCCCCTTTCATTGCATTCAAAATATGCTATAATGTGAGATGTTAACAGGGACTGATCCATGCAAATGTTCTCTTTGCACAAAAAAGTGATTATTACCTCAATTTGATGCATATAAGGGTATGTTCGTTATCCTAGGTCATGTTTCTTACATTTTCTAAAATCGCAAAATATTGCCCTGCCAACAGTGTTACGATATATTGGGATGTATTTAATCTTAACCCATGTCTCATCATACATATTGTATCGTGACATTGTTACATACAGACCTAATGTAAACGGCATATAGACACAGTGTTCTACTGAGGAAAGTGGAACATTTAGCTTCTTAAGCGCAATATTTTTCTCAAATGACCAAAAATAGGCTAAAAAGAGAGTTAATATAAGAGTACATTCATCAGGTGGATTTGAAATGTATATTGACAAAGCTCTGTGACTGCTGGATGTTTGAATACGTGAACAAGTTCATTATAAAAGGATTTATCAAGGCTGTGCGTCGTCTGCCAGAAAGAAAATCCTGCAGCTTGAATTCGTACTTCCTCTCTCAGACGATAAACCTTGAGCTTCTGAAGAGGCGGAGGCAAAGATCTCTGGATGCTGTACAGATATATATTCCACCATACAGAGGCATTCATTATTGATAACATGGAGGATCCTCTGAAAGCATATACTGTATAGAAAGAACCAACCCTAAACCTGTGAAAGACTTCTTATATCATCTTACCTCTAGTAACTCCAATCTAACACATTTACTTTGAATGATCTAGATCAGGGGTCTCCAACCTTTCTTCATCTGAGAGCTACTTTGAAAAAATGAAAGTGGCCAAGAGCTACTTGCATCACATCGCTTAATTAATCGCACATCAGTTGAATTAAACTTTTGCACACGTGTGAAATTGCAATACCTAACCCTTAAAAGGTCAAACTCTTCACTTCACATCGAGGTCCAAGAAAACAACAATTTCTCACATATTATTATGGCCCACATAAATTCACTTAAATGTCCTTAATCACCACCTGACAAGCATCTTATGGCACATGTGTACAATAAGTGGCATTCACTCTTTTTCACAGTTAGTGAGATGAATGGCGCTGCATGGAGTCCACCAGACAGGTGTATGCTGGAGTGTACCCACTTAGGTGCACTCTAATAGAGTCATTTAAATGGTCATCCGTCAGTCTTGTTCTGTATTTAGATTTCATTCATGTCAGAAAAAGCTGCTTCACAAAGGTCTGTAGAACAGAACCAAAAGCAGACGTGTTCAGTGCTGCTTGGTGGATGTTCTTATAGTTTTCTGGGTCTACAAGGCTCCAGAAATGTTGTGAGTTTGGCTGAGACTCTTCTTCTTCTTCTTATTCCTAGGATGAGGAGGAGGAGGAGGAGGAGGAGGAGAGGGAGGAGGAATGGAGGAGGACCGCAGGACCGGCAGGAGGAGGAGGAGGAGGAGGCAGGAGGGGGAGGGTCGAGGAGGAGGAGGAGGAGGGGGAGGAGGAGGAGGAGGAAGGAGAGCGATGAGTGAGGAGGCAGGAATGAGGAGGAGGGAGGAGGAGAGGAGGAGGAGGAGGAGGAGGAGTGTAGGAGAGGAGGAGGAGGGGAGTGAGTGAGGAGGAGGACGAGGATGAGATGAGGTCAGGAGGCTAATGAGGGAGGAGGAGGAGGAGAGGAGGAGGAGGGAGGAGGAGGAGGAAGGAGGAGGGAGGAGGAGGATGGAGGAGGATGAGGAGGAGGAGAGGGGAGGAGGAGGAGAGGGGAGGAGGAGGGAGAGAGAGAGAGGAGGAGGAGGAGGAGGAGGACGGAGGAGGGGGAGGAGGAGGAGGCAGGATGAGGAGGAGGAGGAGGAGGAGGAGGGAGGAGGAGGCTAGTGAGGAGGGGGAGGCGGAGGAGGAGGGGAGGAGGAGGAGGAGGGAGGAGGAGGAGGAGGAGGAGGGAGGGGAGTGAGGAGAGGCTTCTGCTTCTTCGCTTGCTTCTTATTCTTCTTTCTCTTTCTTCGGATTCTTCTTCTTTCTTTCTTCTTCTTCTTCTTCTTCTTCTTCTTCTTCTTCTTCTTCTTCTTCTTCTGCAATTATAAACCATAATAAATCAATTGTATAGCTCTAGCCTCCCTATATCTGTGTATGAAATTGTTCCATACTCAAAAACAATACGTCTGCAGTCTAGCTGCAGCTTCTAGCAACGGTCTTCAGCTCAAAAAAAGGACACTGAATGTCCTGAATGTGGCATCACGAACATGACTTAAGTCTGAACACAGCAGACAACAGGAGTATTTACAACAGCATATAAAAACATAGTGCATGTGGGTGCACACTTATTCTCTGTCTTACTGTTACATAAATCCCATGAATGTATGAGACTAAGTTAGCTTCATCATATCTCAATCAGTGATTAAGTGAATGCGTTGATGGCTAGGCCTCGTTAGGCCTTGTTAGGACTGGCTCACTTTAAGCTGCGTTTCCATTACAGTTTAGGAACTGGGGCAGTTACTATAGTAACGCAGTGTAGGCGGAGCCGTGACGTCATCTTCAATGAGAGCCCCAAAAAACAACACAGCCGTTAGCTCTTAGCACTCAGAGCTCACAGCTCATCATATCTGTTCAGAAACTAGACAAAAGTTAAAGTACAAACCACAGACTGCCTGTGTCATGGAGAATACAGTCGCTGGTTTATTTATGTCTGTATAGGCCGTTGTTGTGAGTGTGGACGGTCGGAGCATATATAACGTTAGCTTAGCCATGCTACATTTAGAAAACACGCATTTTAAAGGGTTTTTCGCCTGCCGTCTGTCTGCAGACTTGTCAAAGCATTAATTCATGGTTTTTACTAACCGGTATCAGTATGTTGTTACTTCGGCATCATTTTGAAACGTGTATTACAATTAAATCACGGTCAAATATGTTCATCTTGTTGTAGTTGTAGCCCCCTTGCCAGTGATTCTCTCTCTAGTTTAGCATACTCAGCCCGACTCAGCCTGGTTGTTCCTGGCCCTAGAACCACGATTTTATGGGGCCAGAAAAACTGTGAATTAGGACCCGCTAGCCGCTACTAGGCCAAGTGGAAACGCAACCAAAAACGGGCACGGCACGCTGAAAGCGAGCTCCGCGCTGTAGTGGAAATGCGCGATAAGTGACCTATCGGCGATGTAAGGGTGGAGAAGGTCACATATATATTCCGGTGCATTTCCACGCAGGGCTTTATATGTAATAACCAGAACCTTAAAATGAATTCTAAAAGTTCTGACGGCACTTCTTCTGTGTGTGTGTGTGTCCTGCAGGTCAGAAACCTCACCAGTGCTCCATCTGCTGGCGCTCCTTCTCTCTGCGCGACTACCTCCTGAAACACATGGTGGTGCACACAGGCGTGCGGGCCTTCCAGTGCTCCATGTGTGGAAAACGCTTCACCCAGAAGAGCTCGCTGAACGTGCACATGCGCACGCACCGAGCCGAGCGCACCTTCCAGTGCAACGTGTGCCAGCGGGCCTTCACCCACCGCACGCTGCTGGAGCGCCACGCCCTGCAGCACGCCCACCCCCACCCCCCCCAGGGGAGAGGGGCCGACATGACCTCGCCCCCCAAGCACAGCCCCCCGCCGATGGGGGGGTCCTCAGGTATGGCTACGGCCGCTGGGATGGTGGGAAACATGGCCAACATGCCCAGCCACGGAGCCTCATCTACCTAAAGGTCTAGTGGGCAGCTAGTGGGAGATGTGGAGGAGTTCCCGAAAGTTTTATATGAGAAATGTTTAGTACGGGGTCCCCAGGACGTAGAAACTGCTGGGTGCTAAGGTTCATATGTTGGGCGATTTTCACGATTATTAATAATAATTGATTACATTTGTATAGCGCCTTTCAAGGGACCCAAGACCGCTTTACATAGTGAACAAACAAACAAACAAAAGGGGTGCATAATAAAGTAAAAATTAACTGTTAGGGGTCAAAGGCCATGGTGGCACGATTGGCATAAGTTGCGTTGATTAGCATACGCAGACAATAGCTAAAAAATGGCTTGGCTGATTTGGACAATTTTGGTGTGGCATATTGAGGATGTTAAATCTATACTGACGTTTCTATGGTTAAAGAAAATGACAGTTTTGAGTCCTGTAATTCCCAAACTTCTTCAAATCAGTTCACCGGGAGTACAGAGATGGAGACTTCAACCCGAACCCTTTTTTTTATATTGTCTGGATCTGCTAATTAACACAACTTAGTATGCCAATTGTGCAAAATCGCCCAACAAATGCAAGTTAGCATCCGATAGTTCCTTAGTGCTGGGGACCCTTGCTATACATTTCTATCATAAAACTTTGGGGTATTCAACATTTTAACGGGTTCACAATCAGACTGAGCTGCCAGATAGACTATAGGGGGAGAATAAGGGGAGGATAGGGAGCCCATTCCTCAAACCGACCATGTTTAGGGTCCTAGTTCTGGTCGGAAAAGCACTTACAGGTTCCCGTCTTTTAAACTTAACGACACTTTCAATCAGGGTTCCTACACACGGCTGGATAATAATGTAGATTTCTAAGGTGGAATTGCACATAATCCTGGAAACATTTGTAAACAAAAAGAAAGTTGTTCTCTCCCCAGAAACCCGTCTTTTAACAGTTGTTTGTAGTCCTTCCCTCGTGTTGTGACATGTGTTGCTGTTATCATGCGCTAAAGAGCGACACCTCTAACAATCACACACCTTGATGAACAGCCATCCAAAATCCAGCCAAAGTGTTTTTTAAATGTGTAGGAACCCTGTTTCAAAGACACCAGAGAGTCACCAAAGGTTAGGGAGTGGGTTGGGAGGGATGGGGTTAAAAAGAGAAGCCAGTAAGGAAGGGTTATTAGGGAGGGGGGGTGCAGGGCTTTATTCACCCTCAATTCATTTACTTCAGGAGTCAAGTTAAAGTGCATCAAATCAAACGTAGATGATATATCTGAGTTTATGTTATGAAGCACTTTGTTCAGGAAAACAATCCAAAAACTAAATTCAAGAAATCATAATTTCTCTTTAATATTTAAGAGGTTTTCTATTAGAAAAGGTGTCGTGTATATTTTAACACTAGTTTTTGCAACCTTTGTTAGCCAGTATTATCATACATGTAAACCGAAAGACGAGGCTTCCTTCTTTTACAATCCTCACACACACACGCTTTTAAATATTACATTTTAAATGGTTATATATTTAGTTAAACTAGAAGAATTGTTTAAAAGTGAACTTATAAAGCACTTAAATATGGTTGTTACGCTGGAAAATGTAAGCAAAGACCTGCATTTGCTAGAATCTGAAAATGTTTTTACATCCCTCCTCCAGGAGTTAAAAGTATGAAACAAAAACCGGTTTGTATCTCGCTCACACTCGTCTGTGGTTGAATGTGTGGCTAAAACACAGACATTAAACGATAGAAACACCTTAAAAGCCTTATTATTAAAAAAAATCCCTTTTTTTATACATTAGAGAAAGAAATTCCTGAATTAACTGAATTGAAAGTGAATAGAGCCCGGAGCTATTCAACGCAGGGGGACAAAGGAGGTGATGAAGACTCAATGTAGAGTAGTCAGAGGGAGACTACAGCAGGGAGGAAGAGGAGGAGGAGGAAGAGGAAGAGAAGGCGTGATGCACAGCAGTGTGAATGAAATTCACCATCATCCATCAGACAGCTTTGTAACATTTTCCACAGGCGCCACTGGTCGGCCCAGGATCATATACCTCGAAAAAAAAACAAGGACGGGACACTATTATCTCTTTTGAAATGTTTGGGAAACATTTCAGCATGTTTTACACACACACACACACACACACACACACACACACACACACACACACACACACACACACACACACACCTACAATTACCTCGGTGGTCCAAAGACAGTGCTTCACATCTTTTAAGCTACATCAGACAGATCCGTTTACTTTTTCAAAAAACGTACTAAAGTACTTCTGTGTAAAGTTCCTGTACACATCGCTATGACGCTCAGCTTGTTCTTTGTTGCTCATGTGATTCTTTGATGCAGAAATAGGGCAAAAAATATAAAAAAACATTTAAAGTGAAAGCCATTCAGAGGACTATGACAAATCAATGATTTTTATCAGGACTTTTATTAAGTGTTTGGTTGTGTTGGTCTTCTTGGGCTCTGGTTAATAATTATAATAATGAATGGGAAAATGTTTGTTGCTTAAAAAAACCTATAAAAGCTTTTCTCGCAGCGCTATAAAAAAAAAAGCTTTTTTTAAAGTTTTAGTAAAACTAAATTAATCATGAAAATGTACAATCACCCCGAGAAAGTTTAGACAAAGTCAAACTTGTGATAATGTTAATTATCACTTTAATATTTATTACAATTTGATCTCTATGCACAATTAAGTTTGCACATCATATGACTTAGACCTAGATGTTGTTGTCCAAGTATTTGGCTTAAGATTGTTTTTCCCCTATTCTTTATACCTTGATCTTAAAAAGACCTTAAGTGTTCCTGCTTTTTGCTAATTTCCCTTCATGTTTGTCAGTCGGAGCATTATATGATATTCAGTAGTTTACTTAAGCTTTGTAAGAGCCTTCTAATTAAAATGATTTCTTACGTGGACCTCCCCATCGTGAGCTTTGCGAGTGATGAGATCATTTGACTTCAATATCACTTTCATTTTCATTTTAAGAAGAGTGAATCCAGCAAAGGCTTTGATTCAAATCCTTTGTGTCTGGACTTCACTATAAATATTGACATGTAATGTCCCATTTTAAATGTGGTTAAAAAAACACTTGCTTATTTACGTGGCGCAGGCCTTTCAGCATGTGTTCATTGGCGTCAGAATGCTGCAAGTTAATTTGTTTCGCCAGCAATGCGGGTGATAATAGAGTGGTGCGGTGATGACGTATTACGACGATAGCATCTCACTGGCTCCCTCGACAAAAACAATGGGATTGTTCCATTGGATTTCGGCATATTGATGAATACAAGCTCTGTGGCAAACCCACGTTTATGATACTTACATGTTTTGTTCAGCAAGATCATCTCAACACATTTTAACACTTCTTTATGATGAAGTAAAAAGCTAACTGTAGGCTATAAAGGAATTACAGCACGGTCACATGACTTCATTTCAGCACCGCTAAGCTAAAGGTGGCTAATGTTCAACTCGATTATGTTTAGTCGTCTCATTTAGCACATTTTACAACTTTAAACCCTAATTATTTAAATAAGGGCTATACAAGTGTTTGTTCTGGGTAGTTGATTTAGTTTTAAATCAGCTGATTAATGGACGTTTCTTTCCCAATGGGAAAAAACGTTTTGGGCCCAATTAATTCACGGAGTTGTAGTACCGCTGTTTGGCCACTATGGGAATTTGCTTCGACGTGTGGCGCACTTCCTGGGGGCTTAACATTCACCAGTGGGCTATCTGAACGTTAAAATCTACTTGGCTAGCGTTAACCACAGACCTTATTTCAGGCCTCTTACCACAAAAACGTTAACTAAACCGGACGAGGTAAAATGCTAATTTAAATGCGGGCTATTAAAGAATATGTTCATAGTAGTTGATTAACTTAAAAATATAATATCCGCTGATTTAGAGACATCTGTTTTCCAATGTAAGTCAATGGGGGAAAAGTATTTTTGGGCCCAATGACGTCACGGACTGACACAGATAGCGTAGTACCACCGTTTGGCCACTAGGAGAACTTGCTAGAACAAACAGGAACATCTCGTAAACTAGTGTCAACCACAGACCTTATTTCAGGCATCTCACCACCAAAAAACGGTCATAAAAAAACTTCAAGACGAGGGAGCCGGAACCATAAAATGCTGACTTATTTCCGGGTATTAGGACTCATTCCTGCACCACTCTATAGATAATTAAAAGAAGCTGGACTGAAACTCCTCCAACTCTCTGTTGGCTATAAGCTATATGTAACATTTTACGCCAAACCTTTGGTGCTTTTTTAGGAAATATTTACCTCATTTGCCAGTGTCCATGCTGTGGTCTGTTTGGTGAATAAGCAGTGTTGATCTGTTTCAGAGGTTTCGGTGCATCTTGTCTGAGGCGGACCCTTGAACAGTACTGTAATATGTGTGCTTTGAAGCCATGTCAGCGCATTGTAACGTACAGTGTTATGCCTTTTTTCTGTTTTATTGGGAGGGAGGTTGATAATTGTTTTTCTACATTAATATTTCTTTAACAGAGGTTAAATATGTCAGAAGAAGAAGAAACAGTCATTTTATAAAAAATAAAAAAACCATTTGTCATCGTAAAACCACATCTTTTATGTATAAAAAGACTAAAAGGCATGATTTTAACTTTTTCTGAGAACTTAGATGTCGTACTCAATGAATTAATTGAATTTTAAAAATGAGTGATTTCAAAGATTTCTTTCTCCAAATAAAAAGTCTTCTATGGCTCAAGGCCAGCTGTGTGTCACAGAGTACATTGTTTTCCCAATTCGGGTGGAAGGGACACTACTGCACTGAACGTGAGTAACTCTGATATTGTATTTGGAGCGTGTGTGTGTGTGTGACACTAGGTCAGGTGAGTAAATGCCTCAAATCATCAATATAGTGTACTGCAAGTTTGCTTAATTTGTATATCTTGTTTACTAATTTGATCAGATTTTGCCAGATTTAATTCAATATGCTTATAATATTATACTTTTGGTTGTTTGTGTTAAGCTTCGGTGGAAAAGGAATCCAGATTTATTAATGGTAAAGCTGAAAAACTGTACTGAAAAGTCCTCATTATGCGACAGAATGGCCGGTCAGAGTTATATACATTTAAAGAGTTTTAGAACATCACTATTAATTGTTAAAGGGACTCTAATAAGCTGATGTTCAGGTGTATATCAGTATGTAGTGTCTCTACTTTAAAGAGTCCTCTCCTGCTGATGTTCAGGTGTATATCAGTATGTAGTGTCTCTACTTTAAAGAGTCCTCTCCTGCTGATGTTCAGGTGTATATCAGTATGTAGTGTCTCTACTTTAAAGAGTCCTCTCCTGCTGATGTTCAGGTGTATATCAGTATGTAGTGTCTCTACTTTAAAGAGTCCTCTCCTGCTGATGTTCAGGTGTATATCAGTATGTAGTGTCTCTACTTTAAAGAGTCCTCTCCTGCTGATGTTCAGGTGTATATCAGTATGTAGTGTCTCTACTTTAAAGAGTCCTCTCCTGCTGATGTTCAGGTGTATATCAGTATGTAGTGTCTCTACTTTAAAGAGTCCTCTCCTGCTGATGTTCAGGTGTATATCAGTATGTAGTGTCTCTACTTTAAAGAGTCCTCTCCTGCTGATGTTCAGGTGTATATCAGTATGTAGTGTCTCTACTTTAAAGAGTCCTCCCTGCTGATGTTCAGGTGTATATCAGTATGTAGTGTCTCTACTTTAAAGAGTCCTCTCCTGCTGATGTTCAGGTGTATATCAGTATGTAGTGTCTCTACTTTAAAGAGTCCTCTCCTGCTGATGTTCAGGTGTATATCAGTATATAGTGTCTCTACTTTAAATAGTCCTCTCCTGCTGATGTTCAGGTGTATATCAGTATGCAGTGTCTCTACTTTAAAGAGTCCTCTCCTGCTGATGTTCAGGTGTATATCAGTATGTAGTGTCTCTACTTTAAAGAGTCCTCTCCTGCTGATGTTCAGGTGTATATCAGTATGCAGTGTCTCTACTTTAAAGAGTCCTCTCTTGCTGATGTTCAGGTGTATATCAGTGTTTAGTGTCTCTACTTTAAAGAGTCCTCTCTTGCTGATGTTCAGGTGTATATCAGTATGTAGTGTCTCTACTTTAAAGAGTCCTCTCCTGCTGATGTTCAGGTGTATATCAGTATGTAGTGTCTCTACTTTAAAGAGTCCTCTCTTGCTGATGTTCAGGTGTATATCAGTATGTAGTGTCTCTACTTTAAAGAGTCCTCTCCTGCTGATGTTCAGGTGTATATCAGTATGCAGTGTCTCTACTTTAAAGAGTCCTCTCCTGCTGATGTTCAGGTGTATATCAGTATGTAGTGTCTCTACTTTAAAGAGTCCTCTCCTGCTGATGTTCAGGTGTATATCAGTATGTAGTGTCTCTACTTTAAAGAGTCCTCTCCTGCTGATGTTCAAGTGTATATCAGTATGTAGTGTCTCTACTTTAAATAGTCCTCTCCTGCTGATGTTCAGGTGTATATCAGTATGTAGTGTCTCTACTTTAAAGAGTCCTCTCCTGCTGATGTTCAGGTGTATATCAGTATGTAGTGTCTCTACTTTAAAGAGTCCTATCCTGCTGATGTTCAGGTGTATATCAGTGTTTAGTGTCTCTACTTTAAAGAGTCCTCTCTTGCTGATGTTCAGGTGTATATCAGTATGTAGTGTCTCTACTTTAAAGAGTCCTCTCCTGCTGATGTTCAGGTGTATATCAGTATGTAGTGTTTCTACTTTAAAGAGTCCTCTCCTGCTGATGTTCAGGTGTATATCAGTATGTAGTGTCTCTACTTTAAAGAGTCCTCTCCTCCTGATGTTCAGGTGTATATCAGTATGTAGTGTCTCTACTTTAAAGAGTCCTCTCCTGCTGATGTTCAGGTGTATATCAGTATGTAGTGTCTCTACTTTAAAGAGTCCTCTCCTGCTGATGTTCAGGTGTATATCAGTATGTAGTGTCTCTACTTTAAAGAGTCCTCTCCTGCTGATGTTCAGGTGTATATCAGTATGTAGTGTCTCTACTTTAAAGAGTCCTCTCCTGCTGATGTTCAGGTGTATATCAGTATGTAGTGTCTCTACTTTAAAGAGACCTCTCCTGCTGATGTTCAGGTGTATATCAGTATGTAGTGTCTCTACTTTTAAAGAGTCCTCTCCTGCTGATGTTCAGGTGTATATCAGTATGTAGTGTCTCTACTTTAAAGAGTCCTCTCCTGCTGATGTTCAGGTGTATATCAGTATGTAGTGTCTCTACTTTAAAGAGTCCTCTCCTGCTGATGTTCAGGTGTATATCAGTATGTAGTGTCTCTACTTTAAAGAGTCCTCTCCTGCTGATGTTCAGGTGTATATCAGTATGTAGTGTCTCTACTTTAAAGAGTCCTCTCCTGCTGATGTTCATGTGCATATCAGTATGTAGTGTCTCTACTTTAAAGAGTCCTCTCCTGCTGATGTTCAGGTGTATATCAGTATGTAGTGTCTCTACTTTAAAGAGTCCTCTCCTGCTGATGTTCAGGTGTATATCAGTATGTAGTGTCTCTACTTTAAAGAGTCCTCTCCTGCTGATGTTCAGGTGTATATCATATATTGTTCTCATACTGCCTGTGCTGCAGCACCTCTTTTCACCATCCGTCTGAAACCAGTAATTAATCAATGTTTATTTATATAGCCCAATATCACAAATGTTACATTTGTCTCAGTGGACTTCACAGTTTGTACAGAATATCAGTATGACAATACGACACCCTCTGTCCTTAGACCCTCTGTCCTTAGACCCTCTGTCCTTAGACCCTCACATCGTACAAGGAAACACTTCCAGAGAAAACCCACAGTTTAAAGGGAAACATGGGAGAAACCTCAGGGAGAGCAACAGAGGAGGGATCCCTCTCCCAGGACGGACAGACGTGCAATAGATGCCGTGTGTAAATCGAAGAGATAATACATTTGCAACATATGTAGACCAAATGTTTGGAAATGCATGTGTCTGTAATAAGAAGATGAATCCACGAGGATGTCAACAATCTTGAGGGCGCCATAAGGGACGTAGTATAATGAGAGTCAGGCAGGACCACAGTGACAGGTTCAGCCACGTCTCGAAGTCCAGGACTCAGATCCAGAACTCAGGATAGAGGATCCAGGACACAGGATCCAGGACTCCGGATCTAGGACTCAGGATCCAGGATGCAGGATCCAGGACACATGATTCAGGATCCCGGACACAGGACCGTAGCAACAGGATCAGCCACGACTCAGGATCCCAGCGTAGATAGACACCAAAAAGACATTTGGGGGAAGCTGGGTTATTCGGAACATGAGAGTACACAGGTACAGACAGACAGAAGGAAGAAGTAAGGTGTCCCCCGACAGTCCAAGCCTATAGCTGCTCAACTAACGTGTCTACCTACATGGACTCCCTTAGGATAGGGTGAGGGAAAAGAGTATGAACTAAGATGTATGCGCCACATCTATACAATGCTCCTAAAAAGTGTTTCTGGCACTGACACCAATGAACAGTTGTGCGTCGACTCGGCAGGGATCAAGGCACTTCTATACCTCTCCCTGCTTCCACCGTCTCACAACCAGATTACATTCCATCAGTAAGGAAAAAGAGTAAGAACTAAGATGTATAGGTGAAGAGGCACAACGTGTCTATGTCAATGTACTCTTATTAATCAGTGACAATGTATCTTTCTGTAAAAGCTGCTCATATGTTTTATATGTACAATGTTAAAGTAACTTGTAATGCCAAATGCAATGAAATAAAAAGTACAAATACTGCTTCTAAAATATAGTAAATCAGACAAAGTACAAAACTAATAACTACCTTAATGTTGGAAAATATTGAAGTCGGTGCGCAAAGTAAAAATGTATTAACACAAAAGTTGTTGTGTAGAAAATCAAATCTAACTGAACCATCAACAGTTTTGAGAAAAGGCTAATTATTAAAAGTACATTTTAAGTGTTCTGGTTCTAGCTTTTCAACTATATAAATATGCTTTTTAAGTATACAAAAATATAATACCTTTCGGGACAGGCGGTCACACAAAACAAGAAATCTCTGCCAATGATAAATGAAGAAAAGCATTTTAGTTGCAGCTCTTGTCAATACCTTATTGATTAAGTAATGTGAAAAATACAGCTGTAGTTGTTTTTATGAAATATCAATGTGTTATGTGACGTTTAAAAAGCTGCTAAATATCGTTGTTTATTATTTTAAATGTGAAAAATATCTTCTTTTATTCCCCAATTGTTGCTTCAACGCTGTCTGAGTTCCTGCAGCCTTACTGTAGTTTCTTTATCTTAACTCACCTGTCAACAAAACAAAAGTCCTCTTAGTTGTTCCTGTTATCCCTGCCATCAAACTCCCAGTACATGTATCATGAGCACAGTGTAAAAGCTGTCGTTTCTTGAAGGTTCATAGATGATGTGTTTTTTTCGGGGGCCTTTGAAGGTCTGGCTGGTCGCGGCTGAACTCTGGCCAGAAGGCATCTGTTACTCAACAACATCTGTTCCTGTTACTCTCATTCTCCCAGCATGCCGAGGGACACGCAGGCTCTCCCAAGGGTGGCCCTTTTGTGTGCCCCATTGTCAATTCCATCATTGTCTGTTTCGAAGTCTGTTCCCATAATGCCGCGGGGTTATAAACCCCTTCAGAGGCCATTTCTACCGGGCGGATGATTTACAGTTATTTGTGTCTAAAAAACAATCAGCGTCTCTATGTTGGGGGGGAGGGGGATTAAGAAAGAGAACTGAGGGGAATTTAAAGAGGTAATGGGTAAGACATTTAAATAGGCTGATTTTTTAACATGTTTACTTCAGCTTTGTATGTTTATATAAATATGTATTTAGTTTATTCTAAAATGGTTACGAATTGTAAATTTCCCGTCGGATAATTAAAGTGTTTTGATTTTAAGTCAAATCAGAATCAAAATACTTGAGTTATCCCAGGGGGAATTAGGATTTGTGACAGTTGTACCATTACTAAGACTTCCTCTCTACAGCAAAAATAACTTTAGTGGGGCATATCTCCGCATTTGAATTGTTTGTTGGAGATCTCCTAAAGTGTTTGTTTTTTTTGTTCCGAGAAAAAAGTCAGAACTATTTTTTGATGTTGAACATTTTGGGGGGATTTTCAGAAATGTCTCCTTTTTTTCTTTAATGCTTACTTTAGCCGGAATCAGAAATGTCCAAGAAAACTTTACTTTAATGTAAAAAGCTTCAGTTTTTTTGTGAGAAAAATCCCCACTACAGTTATTTTTACTGTAAGCAGGAGGGAGGAAAACCCATAGTATTGGAAAATGTCACAAAACCCCTGCCCCCCTGATTTAAAGGTCCTCCCTAACTTATTCCCCCCTGTTTAAATGTCCCGCCTAACTTGAGCAGATATGTAAGAGAACTTGACTTCAGTGTAAAAAGCTTCAGAAATGAGTGAGAAAACCCCACTAAAGTTATTTTTGCTTTAAACGGGAAGGGAGGAAAATGTTCCAACTGTCACTAATCCTATTTTCTTCTAGAAATAAATGTAGTATTTTATACTGATTTAATGTTTTCTCTTTTGCTTTTGAAGATATGTACAAGAAAAACTCTTACTTTAAAAAACTTTAGATTTGAGTGAGAAACCCCCCACTAAACTGGAAGTGTGGAAAACCCACAGAACTGGAAAATGGTACAGCTGTCTGGGATAATTCAAGTATTTTGATTCTGATTTAAAATGTTTCTCTCGTACTTTAGCAGATATGTACGAGATAACTTGACTACAGTGTAAAAAGCTTCAGAAATGAGTGAGAAAACCCCAGCAGTGTAAAGTTATTTTTGCCTGTAACTGAAGCGTGGAGCACCCAAAGTGTTGGAAAGCTGTCATGAATCCTAATTTCCTCCTGGGATAATTCAAGTATTTTGATCTTGATTTAAAGTTTTCTCTTGTACTTTAGCAGATGTGCACAAGAAAACTTTACTTCAGTGTAAAAAGCTTCAGTTTTTAGTGAAGAACCCCCCTACTAAGATATTTGTGCTGTTAACAGGATGCGTGGAAAAAGTGTTTGAAAATGGTAACAGCTGTCATGAATCCTACGTTTTTCTTCTGTACTTGTGTAGATATGTACAAAAGACACTTGAGTTTTAAAAGAAAAAGCCCAAGTAAAGTTATTTTTGCTATAAACATGAAGATAGGATAACCTAAAGTGTTGGAAAATGGTACAACTGGCATGAATCCTATGTTTTGTCTTGTACTGGCGTAGATATGTGTAACCGGTGTCGTTAAGCGGTCTCTGCGTTGTGTTTTGCATTGTTCATGGATGACCAGAGCCAGCATACAGTTTTGACGATCTCCGTTTGATTACTGACAATCTGACAACAGATATAACTAGAGAATGCAATTCCTGAAGAAATTGCTAGTGGGAATGCTTTATGCTGAAAATCTGACGCTAAACTGCTATGCTGAAATGTAATGATTGATGACATCCCATAATACGCTTAGATGCGTTGATGGCTGCATCGTTACCAAACCTGTGAAGTTTTGGGACATTTGGAGCATTTTCACTGAAGTTATGAGAAAACCGTGTTTCATGGCGGGCATTGTGTTGCCATGGCAACGGCATGTCCCGTAGATGTCTTCAGGGCTGGACTGTTAGCACACATGTGAAGTATGAGCATTTTTTGAACATTTTCATAGGAGTTATATAACAAAATCGTGTTTTATGGCGAGGGGTGCGTTTCCATGGAATTGGCATATGGTGAGATCTCAGATTTGGCGTAGAGCTGTTGAGGCATGGACCGGTGATATACAAGTGAAGATTGGGGGACGATTGGACCGTGTCCATTGGACTTACAGCGACATCGTGTTTCATGGCGAGTGGTCTGTCGCCATGGCAACAGCATTTGATGACACACCATAATACGCTTAGATGCGTTGATGGCTGCATCGTTACCAAACCTGTGAAGTTTTGGGCCGTTTCGAGCATTTTCACTGAAGTTATGAGAAAACCGTGTTTCATGGCGAGCATTGTGTTGCCATGGCAACGGCATTTGAAGAAATCTCAAAACTATCCCGTAGATGTCTTCACGGCTGGACTGTTAGCACACATGTGAAGTTTTGAGCACTTTTTGTACATTTTCATAGGAGTTAATGTGTATAGCGACATCGTCTTTTATGGCGAGGGATGATTTCCATGGAAACGGCATATGATGATGACACCCCATAATTGACGTAGAGCTGTTGAGGGCAGGACCATTAACCATTATCTGAAGTCTGCTGCTCTGAGCATGTCAGTTGGAGTGATGACATCATCGTGTTCCATTACACAGGTGTTTATAGTTGAGCTAACGAGGTGTCCAGAGATCAGAGGTTTCCATTGTTCTGAATGAGAGATAAACCTCTTACATGTGAACGTTTTGTTGAAGAACCGTAACAGATATCAGTGAAATTTCAAAAGCGTGAAGCATGTCAAGAACCTTGAGTATCTGAAGTGTGCTTTTTGTGTACTTTCCGGTCAATAATGTGGCCTTTTTGGCAGATTAACTAAAGGTGTGCGGCTGCTGCTGTGAGGAAATATCAGCCTGAAATTACAATGGGTTTTAATGGAGACATGTTGAACGTTTTTGTCACTTCATGCCCTCAAGAGGCATTTTGTTTAATTATTTTTTGCTTAATTATTTGTCATTTTTGAAGCTACGAGATGTTTTCCTACGTTTGTCTAGAAAAATTATGTCTCAGGAATGTAGGGTTTGGGAATTAAGGCAGTTTTAAAACTAAATATGAAGGCAGATTTCAAGATTCACTACCCTCTAGCTGTGACATCACGCACTCTAGTTAATGTTAAAATGTGAAGAAAACCTCTAAAACAAGGTCTGAACAATGTTTAATATTTCTAAAAGTAAGAATCAGATTTAAAAGTTGTGTTACACGAATAATGTCAGAAAGATGTGAAATATTTTAACGTTGGAATGAGGTTTCTGAGTGAAAGTATGAATGAACAGTTAGCAGTTGAAGTCGCATAAAGATTTGTTGAAGTCTGAAGAATTTCTCCATTGACTTCAATGGTTAAAAATGTGATGAATTATGGGATGTATCTCTGGAATTATGAAAGTTATGAATAATAGCAATTGATTCCCGACCGAGCTGAACGTTTTGATCTTTGAACGGAGTTTCTGCGATGTTCAATGCGGGAGGAGAAGACCGGCAAAATAACGGGTGGAATAATAAGAATAAAGAATTTCGTGCGTAGAAGAACAGATAGTGGGAATGCTGTTAACAGTATTCCCACTAAATGATCAGTTTTATATTAGGTTTCCCTCACAGTGACAACTCACGTGGAACATTTACAAAAAGGGAAGAGGAAAAGTGAGGGAAACCTAATGTAAAATATGGGGGGGAAGTCCTCACAACAATAATCTCCTGAGCATAGCGACCACACTTCAGAGGTTCCGCCCACTGATCTCCGACCTTGTCAGGTATTGAACATTCAATAAAATGAAGAACACAGAATTACTTAATATATTGATTATTCAAAATGATTTACAAATAAAACCCCACTGCATATTTGCAACTGTTACATATGTACAAAAGACACTTGAGGTTTAAAAGAAAAAGCTTCAGGTTTTAGTGACATTTTTAGGAAAATGGTACAACTGTCATGGATCCTTCCTTTTCTCTTATACTTGTGCGGATATATACAAAACAACGTCAGTTAAAAAAGAAAAGCTTCAGGTTTTAGTGAGAAAACCCCTAAGTAAAGTTATTTCTGCTGCAAACGGGGTCGTGGAATACCCAAATAACTCAAAAATGGTACAGCTGTCATGAATCCTTCCTTTTCTCTTATACCTGTGCAGATATGTACAAAAACAGTCAGTTCTTAAAGAAAAGCTTCCAGTTTTAGTGAGAAAACCCCCCAGTAAAGTTATTTTTTGTTGTAAACAAGAAGTGTAGATAAACAAAACGTGTTGGAAAATGGTACAGCTGTCATGAGTCCTAAGTATTCTATTATACTTGTGTAGATATGTGCAAAAGACACTTGAGTTTTTAAAAGGAAAAAGCTTCAGACTTTAATGAGAAAACTCCCAAGTGAAGTTATTTTTGCTGTTAAACAGGAACGGGGGTAGACCCAAAGTCCAGAAGGCGTTTCTTCACATTGATCTGACTTTCAGAGCCATGAATTACCTGACCTTGTTCTTTAGGCGGAGTGGTAAATCTAGGTAGGGACATTGTTTTTTTATGAATAGGCCCCTCTCCCGTCTCCAGGGAAACACTTTCAACTCCTGGCAGCAGCCAACAGTTTGGGCACAGAAAGGCCCACTATGGGGTCCTCAGGGGAAGACAACAGATGTTCCTGATTAACTTTGCTCACAGACCAGAAGTGTTTTTCACAGTACAGATGGATAAAACAAAAGTTGGACACAATTAAAATTTCATGTTTAGCAATATTTATTTGGAAAAATAGTCTTGGCTAATTCCTTCATTCAAAACGGTTAAAGGAGACGGTTTAAAATAACAATTTGTACAGTATACAATCCCTCTTAAATAACATTTTCTTTAAAAAAAGTCCCATTGACCTGAAGTGCCTTTGCAAAATATCATCATTAATAAAAAAAAAAGCAACTTAAATAATCATAACAAACATCACAAATATACAATACGAAATAAAAATAACACAAATCATTAAATTAACTTAAATTAAATCATAATTTTAAACTTTTTTCTTGTTTTTTCTTTCTTTATTTTACAAAATCTGTATCAAAAGCAACATTTTATTTATTTAATTAAGAGAAAGGTTTTCATGTCCCGAAAAGAAACTGAAAAGAGTTTGAACAATACTATGTCATAAATGGTTTTGGAGGGCTTAGGAAGGAAACGCACTTCAGTGTACACAGCGATCAATACATTACAGTCTTCACAGTGCAGCGATGGGTGCACAGCCCAAAAACAGCTTCGAGAAGAACAGGCCAGTATGGCCAAACATCCACCGTTTGATGCAGTTCCTGCGCTCAGCAACACGTGTGGGTTAGAGAAAAGGCCTGGGTGCAAATGTTGCAAAAAACAAAAAAATCGTAGCGTCGCACGTTAGCGCCACGAGACAGTGTCCGTTTATATTTTTTACTATTTTTACTCCCCGATAAAAGGCAGAACAGAAAGCTAAGTGGCAGTTTACTTTCAACCGTAAACTTTGTATTTATACCCCGCCAGTTCTTATCCCACACGCTGCCTGCGCTTATTTTTTTCCAGTAGAGAACCAGCTCACTCTGAATATCAGTTAAACGTCTCAGTATCAGCAGCAGTCTCAAGGCGGGACACCTCCCCCTAGGGTTTAGAGCAGCATCTGAAGGAGTATTAAAACTCTCCCATAGAGCAAATGAGCAACGGGCAGCCCACTGGTGGCTCGTTACACCTGGAGGGACACGAGAAGACAAAAGAAACGTTAGGGTTTGTTCGACAGACGACCACAGAGAGACGAGTTTCAACACTGAAATGTATAACAGAGTAAAACATCGGAAACTCACCTCAGTTGCAATTATACATTCGTCCTTTTCCTCTGACATCACAAACACAGATTTTGTTACTTGGTGTCCGCACATGCAGACATTTCTGGGGCGTTCTTTTCTGATGAATCGCTTTAAGAAAGAAAGAAAGACGTGGTTAGTTTTATTGTTCTGATAGCTTCAGTGCTACATTAGCGTCAGTGCTACATTCGCATTACATTACATTAAGCGCTTTGAGCACCAGGAAAATCGCTATATATAAATCACATGTATTATTATTATTAGAGACCGTCAGACAGATATTTACCATTTTAATCGTTTGCTGCGTTTCTCCTCAAACTCAAACGAGTCGTGGGATTGGCACTTGTCTTCGCTGGCCGCCTCCAGCATGGCTTCCTTCGCCGCCTGCTCGTAGTTGACCTCCTGTACGAGGTTGTAGTCTGAAGGCTGATGGCGGCTCTTGTAGCTGCTCCTCCCCGGTGGAGACCCCTCGTCAGGATCGCTGCTGCAGAAGTCCATCTTCTGTTGATGTTTTTTAACTCCCGGCGTCGGCATCATGCTGACCGCCAGATCTCTGTCACCTCGATGACAGTTGTTGGTCAGGTTGTTTATTTGTCTCCACCTCACCAACTGTTTCTATTGACCGCCCCGCTGGACTTTTGATCGGAAAAATCCAACAAGAACAGCGCATCCCGCCAGCAGAAGAAGAACCAAAGCCACGCCGGACCCCACGGCCATCCAGGGAACGTCGGACCCTCGGATCGCAGCGTGTTCTGGGAGCAGGAACTGGCAGTTTCTTCCTCCGTATCCGGGAACGCACGCGCACACGTAGCGGTTGTTCCTCTCGTGGCACGTGGCTCCGTTGTGGCACGGGTTGTGTTCACAGCGGCTGATTGGAGAGCTGCAGTTTCGCCCAGTGATCCCCGGCGGGCAGGAGCAGATGTATCCGTCGAGACCTTCCTGACACGTGGCGCCGTTTCGGCACGGGTACATCGAACACTCGTCCCCCGTGTGGTCGCAGTTCATGCCCGTGAAACCCTCGGGACACTGGCACAGGTACGAGTTGACCAGATCCACACAGCGAGCACCTGTAGGCAGAATCAGACATGTTTAGTGTTAGAAAAATATCACTGGTCTTGAGCTTCAATCTCTGGATCCATGTATTTATGATCCTCTCAAGAATGGAAGGAGTCATCACATACAGAGCATCAACTAGTTCCTGAACAGTGTCCTTCACATGCTGATATCCAAGAGAGGGAGTTACACAGTCACAAGATGGAGGAATACTGGTTCAAAGCAGTATTCAAAGTTTACTTCAGATTAGCTCCACGTCAGAAATGAGCATGCTGGTCATATGTCTCTCTCCATAGAGGCTGAATCATCATGTTAATCACATAGCTATCATATGCCTACAACAGTCCTGATGCTCTTCTCACACATCCTGTCATGTTCACAGCTACAGTTGGGATACCTTTGTTATCATGTTACTCTCAGATTGGAAGACTACATTCACTATTTTCCCAACATTTAGTAATGCTGGAGTAACATCTGATGTTTTGGTATTCGAGGCACACTTCAAAACTGGAGTCAAAACTGCTCAAAGATTGTAGGTCAACCTTTTGAATCAGCTTACATAAATTAACAATATTGAGGCTGTCCAACAACATCGTCTCTGACCCCAACCATGTCCTGAACAGTGAATATGAATTGTCACAACCAATCGGAGATACAGGGTCCCACGATTGAATAAAGTTAGTTCGAAGCACTCCTTTGTGCACCAGGCGATCCTGAAATTAAATACAGAGTTTAATCCCTAGTCGAATGTACGTTAGAGGGTCTTGAGATGTTATGTGTGCTCCCTTGTATCTTGTCTTAAATATTTGACTTTGTTGATGTTGCAGCTTCTGTGATGCAAGAACATTTTCAGACTCGATCTGACAATACATTATTATCGTACCGTATCGTATCTTATTACACGGCTATACACGATATTTCAGAGGTTGTTAATAGTTGATAACACACCGCTGCTAAGCAAAATAATGACCGTTGCTAAGTAGGATCAGGAGTGAGAAAGGGAGAGAGGTTAAAAGACAGAGCGCTGGACGTCAGATAAATCAACAGAAGAAGACAGCGGAGAGATCTTAATCAACCTCCCTTAAAGGTCCCCTATTATACTGTGTTTCATCAATATATCACAGGTCTCAGATATATCCAGAGCCTGTCTCTGATTGGCTGAAACACCAAACAGATCATTGCAGCATTACCCATAATCCCCTCTGTTTCAGCCCTGTTTCCAAAGTGCTGATTCTCTGTCTGTTACTTTAGATGAAAATAAGGAGCCCCTCCCCACGCCCCTCTGAGAGACATTTGGTTACAAAGAACTCAATGGTGCTCTAGGAGGAGATTCAGGTGATAAGGGGGGGGGGGGGGGTTACCTTGGTTGCTGATTGGCTAATGGTTACACAAGACAAAACATCGTTATGACATCACAAAGTGGCCAAAATCTGATCAGCTCATTTTCAGACAGGTTTTTATAGAAATGGATCAAAAAGAGAGATAATCTTTGTTCCTGAAACTTTCAGAGTCTCTTTCCACAGAGGGGACACATGTTGATGTAGAAGAGACATGAAGAAGAGGGGACACATGTTGATGTAGAAGAGACATGAAGAAGAGGGGACACATGTTGATGTAGAAGAGACATGAGGAAGAGGGGACACATGTTGATGTAGAAGAGACATGAAGAAGAGGGGACACATGTTGATGTAGAAGAGACATGAAGAAGAGGGGACACATGTTGATGTAGAAGAGACATGAAGAAGAGGGGACACATGTTGATGTAGAAGAGACATGAAGAAGAGGGGACACATGTTGATGTAGAAGAGACATGAAGAAGAGGGGACACATGTTGATGTAGAAGAGACATGAAGAAGAGGGGACACATGTTGATGTAGAAGAGACATGAAGAAGAGGGGGACACATGTTGATGTAGAAGAGACATGAAGAAGAGGGGACACATGTTGATGTAGAAGAGACATGAAGAAGAGGGGACACATGTTGATGTAGAAGAGACATGAGGAAGAGGGGACACATGTTGATGTAGAAGAGACATGAAGAAGAGGGGACACATGTTGATGTAGAGGGGACACATGTTGATGTAGAAGAGACATGAAGAAGAGGAGACACATGTTGATGTAGAAAAGACGTGAAGAAGTGGATTTTGCATAATAGGTGACCTTTAACATGATCCCTTATGTATCGTATCGAACAGATTGCATGAGATAACCCTAACCCTCCTGGACCAGTCTCTCTTACCGTTGGAGCAGGGCGTGGAGGAGCAGTGGTCGATCTTCTTCTCGCAGGTGAACCCGGCGTACCTGTGGGGCACTGGCAGAAGTATCCTCCGTCGGGGTTTGTCGGCACAGCGACCGTCGTTGGAGCACGGCCCGTCTGCACACGTCATGGCACTCAGCTCGCAGTTTTTGCCATAAAAACCGTGAGGGCAAGTGCAGGTATACGTGTTTTCCAAATCCTGCGAGGAGAAGAAATAGAAACAGGTTCGACATCAAGATCTGTCTTTGGCTGCTGCTGAATCTTTTTGTATCTCAACATCTGTGAGATTCCCATTAGGCGAAGTTGAAACTAATATGTTTTTATTTAAACGTATTGCTTTCAACTAACCTAATTACAGTTTTGTGAAATCTGTTTAAATCTTTATTTAATTAAAGTCAACGTTTCAGTTTTTTCAGTGTAAATGTGTCTTTCTGCAGAACAACTACTTTAACTCTGGGTACTTAAAGTATATTATGATGCTAATCCTTTTAAATCTAAGAACACATTTCAATACAGGACTTTTAATTGTAACTGAGTATTTTTACACTGTGGTATTGTTACTCTTAATCGAGTAAATAAGTACTTCTTCAACCTACTGAGCCCCAGCTTGCACGATGTCTCTATCCTTCCTACTAAATTCTTTTTTTTAAAAAGAAGACCAAACACTTACAGCACAGCTTCCTCCGTTGCGACAGGGGTTTCCGGCACATTCGTTGACCTGCATCTCACAGCTGGACCCAGTGAAGCCCGGTCTGCAGGAACAGGTGTAGCTTCCCTGACCCGTGTTGCTACAAGTGGCTCCATTCATGCAGGGCCTGTGGTGGGTGCAGTAGTTGAGATCTGGAGAGACACATGTGGATTAGCCACAGCTCAACACATGGCAGAACAGCAGCAGCGACAGAATGTGTTTTGTCCTCCGGCACACTTGACTCTTTCTCTTCTTCCAGTGGTTTTTTGTTTCCTTTTGAGCCCTCCCTGCTGTTCCTGCTGTTCACACAGAGACAACTGCTGCTCTGTTGTGGTGTCTGCACCACAGTGGTGAGACTGTTATGTTGCTATTTTCATCTTCTTCAATTTCTTTTTGTCTTTACGAGACTTTGAAATGTTGCTAAACAGTCCATGGCCGCAGAGGAACGGTCCTGAGCAGAACTACCCTAGATAAACACTCTCTTCCTAATAAGCATGGCTTCAACTCTGACACAGATGAGGTGATCTGGCGAGGTTTCTAGGGAAAAGTTGGGCTACAGTTGGTTTGAACGTCATGGTTTTTTTGGACATATAGTTTATGTTTAATCAGCTTTTCAATTAACAATCATCCAAATGTAGTGAGGGTCGTTTTGTTTATACATCCATTGAAAGGCTGTTGATGTAGGCGATGACATCCAGCAAAGATCCTGAGCTGAACTACGCTATACACTTTTCTGCACTTTCTCGTCCCGACTCTCTTCACATTAAGCATGGCTTAGGTTATTGACAATTAATATACACAAAGACACAGATGTTTTGATTTGCAAGATTTGGAGGTGGAATTTTGGCTAAAGTTGGTTTAAAAGTCACTTTTTTTGGACTTATAACTTCTGTTTAAACTGCTTTTCAACCCCCATTCTTCCAAAGGGTCTTTTTCTTGTTTAACCTTAACTTTCTAACCCAACACTTTTTGATCAACAAATTTGATATAAATCTAGACACAGATGTAGTGGATTGGCAAAGATTTAGTTTGGACATATAACTACTGTTTAAACAACTTTTCAATCTGCATTCATCCAAATGTAGTTAGGGAATGCTCTTATTTATACATCCGTCAACATGCTGAGGATTAAGGACTTTCAGGTGACCACAACTTTTACTTTTTAACCCAACTTCACACTTTTTCATCAGCAAATCACCGTATCAGTGCTCTCTGCTTCCTTTCCTTTCTCTCTTTCCTCCTCACTCCCCCCACACTCTCATCTCATCCTCACCTTGGTTGCAGAAGAGCCCCCCCCAGCCCTCCTGACAGTTGCACTGCCACGGCTGCTGGCAGGTCCCATGGAGGCAGCCCGGATAGCGGATGCACTCGTCGCAGTAGCGGCCTTTGAATCCCACTCTGCACCTGTTGTCCAATTAGGAGGGAAACACCGGTCAGAACACTCACTTTGCTTCATGTGTCCCACTCATTCATGAATGCCCTGCAGTGAACAGGAGAAACAACGTACTTGCACTCTCCGGGTTTCTCACAGAAGCCGTGCTCTTCATCGCAGCCTGGCAGGCAGATTGCTGTGGAAGAGAAAGAGAGAAACTGTTAGGATATTTGTTTGGTTTTGATATAAATCTCAAGAAAGTCATTAAAACTCAGGGACGGGGAGGTGCTCTGAAAAAACTGAAACGCTGGCATATTTATATTTGCTTTCAACTAACCTAATACAGTTTTGTGAAATCTATTAAAGTCACCGTTTCAGGTTGTTCAGGGTAAACCCATTAGCTGATACTTTAAACTCCTTATCACCGTGGAAGAATGTTCTGCTTAACATAGTGCTGAGACAAAGGAGGGAGTGTGTGAACGTGTGTGTGCCACAGAGTCTACACACTCACACACAGACCCCGTCAACCCACCCCACCACCCTCTTTTTTTTTTCTTCTTCTTCGCTGCGGGTCAAAACTCTTTTATTCATTCTGTGCACACACACACACACACACACACACACACACACACACACACACACACACACACACACACACACACACACACACACACACACACACACACACACACACTCACACACTCCCCTTAATGTCTCGGATTGGGGCAGATAAGAGTGGACAGCTGGCG